TTTTTTTTTTTTTTAAATGAATTTTTTAGTACAGGGTTTCTATGTAGATCTGACTCATAGTGATTCTCCTGTATTCAGCCTCCCAAGTGCTGGGATTGCAGCCGCTTGCCACCATGCCCAGTCTCAGTTGCCATCTCAGCACACCCCAGGGCAGGACCTGCAGAGCATGGCAGGGATCGAAATCCCGGCTGCTGCACTGTGCCGAAGCAGGCGCTTTAGTCTGATGTGCTGGGATTTTTATTGGCACATTTTAGATATATAAAATGATAGCAGTCACTGTAGGAATGTTCTGATTTGGGGGGGGGATTGTTCTAATTTTAAAAGCATGTATATCGGGGAACTGGGTGTGGTGACGCATGCCTGTACATAATTGGAGCACGTGGGAGGTTGAGACAGGATGATCGCTATGAATTCGAGACCAGCTGGGGGGCTATAAAAGTGGGCACAAAGCCAGGCTGAACTATATAGTGAGATCCTGTCTCAAAAAAGCAAAAAAGAGCAATTTGTATTTCTCTGTTAACTGTGGTAATGGACTATTTCTTGTGAGATACTTTTGTAGAATGGGCTAGGAGGAGGGAATTTTTTCCTGTGTGTATTCACTTGTTCTTTTCTTATTTACTAGTAAATCAGTCAATTATTTTTTATTTATTTTCATTTTTATTATTATTTTTTTTTTGTGGTATCAGAGATTGCACTCAGGACCTTGCCCTTGCCAGGCAGGCGCTTATTCTACTGAGCCATCTCTCTGGCTCTTAAAACAGTGAATTACCCAAATAAATTATTGAGCACTTGTTAACACGAGGCTTCTTGAACGGGGACAGGAGATGGAGAGAAAAACAAAACTGCCACTGATGGGGAGATCAGAGCTGCTGGGGGAGAGCTGCCTGGGTCAGATCTTGGCCCTGTCACTTTGCCATAGTAACCCCTTCGGGAGATTATTTTGACTTTTTGGGCCTCATTTTTCCTTCTGTAAAATGGGCACAACATATATCTTCTCTTATCTGGGGCTATAGGAATAAGTGAGGTAGTATCCATTGAACACTTAAAATGATAAGCGCACCCTCTGAGTCTGATAAATGTTAAGTCATGTTGTTGACACTGTCACTTACTAGATTTTATAACCCTGCCTGTGGGACAGGGCTACTAAATTCTGTGCCGCCAGGGCTGTCCTGTAGCCCAGTGCTTCTAGTAGTAGTACCCCTGCCCTGAGTTTTAACAACCAGCCATTGCCGAGTGTTCCCAGGGCAGGGGGGGGGATGACACGCTCAGCCCTGCTGCCGGTGTAGAGGGAAGTCACAGGGGAAGGACAGGCGCAGACTTCTAGTGCATAGGGAGTGGCCCTGAGTGGGGGAGGGCGCGAACCACAGTGGAGGCTGAGAGAGCCCGAAGCCTGCTGTATACAGCACGGGGCTATAGTCCCGGGGACCTGGGAGCCTGAGGCAGAGGCTGAGGCTGATCGAGTCCAGAAGTTCAAGGCCGGCATGCACAATGTAGTGAGGCTCCGTTTCATACACACAACAAGAAACAAACCTCCAAATAGAAGCACGGCGCTTACAAGGATTAATCTTTTGTTGGGGGCTGTTGGCTGTCAGACCCTCGGTGAGACACATTCTGATGTCTTTTTGCTTTACAGATGAATGAGATCGAAGTATGTCCAGAATGTTATCTAGCTGCTTGCCAAAAACGAGATAACTGGTTTTGTGAGCCTTGTGTAAGTTACTTTTGCTTTTCTTATTTCAGTTTTTGAACTCTGTGCCGTTGATGGCTCCCCGGGTCAGCCTTCTCAGGGAGTTAACAGAGACAAAACGTCGGTTGATGTTCTAAAATAATAATTTTTACTGATAAAAAATTATTATTGTGGAGTGAAAGTAACGCAGTAAGATAAATGTCTGTGTACCAGACATAGCACCCTAGTTCTGGGTTTATTATTTTGAACTGGCTGAAAAATGCAGAGTCAAAGGGAGACTGTCAGAGAGTCTGTGACAACAGTTGTAACAACAATTCCGGGAATGATGTGAACACTCAATTGAATGAGTGTGTCATTTATAGATTGTCCTCCCATCCCCCCCCCTTTTTTTTTTTTGTGATGCTGGGGATCAACGCTAGGGCCTTGTCCACTTGAGGCAAGTGGTCTACCACTGAGCCACATCTGGAGCCAGTGTTGGGTCTCTCTGGAAGTCTGGAAGTGTTTCCCTGGATGCACCTCATAGTCATTCTAAACCATTGTTCTTGGGGATGGGGGGGTGCTGTAGAAAGTCACCCAGGTTTCCTGTCAGCTCTGCATTTCTAAACTGTTGTGTTTTGTTTTGTTCTGTGGTAGTGGGGGGATGGGACCTAGTGTCTCAGTCATGCAGCCTGGTGTTTTGCAGAGACAAGTACCTTGTGGGATGGGCTGGAGTATGTGTGAGAGAGGAGGAGGGGAGGGGTGGAGATGGAGGGCGGGGGGTGGGGAGAGCTAGACTGGGCAGGTAAAGAAGCAAGACTTCCTTTATGGTCTTTTTGCCTTAGGAGATGGACACCTGAATAGCTTAGGCCCTGCATAGCCCTCTAAGGAATAAAGCTAGGGCAGCTGGGGGCGTGGTAGCACATGCCTGTAATTCCAGGACTCAGCAGGCTGAGGCAGGAGGATTTGAGCTTGAGACCAGTCTGAGCTACAAAGCGAGCTCAAGGCCAGCGTGAGCTGCATAGTGAGACCCTGTCTCAAAGAGACCCCCTTCCCCCAAAAGAAAGAAAGAAGGAAAGAAAGAAAATAAAGGTAGTTACTGTTGCCCTTTAGATGCTGGGCATGATGCACACTTAGTCCAGACTTGAAGGAACCTGAGGGGACAAAGAGGTGAATTCTCTTGGTGTTGGCCACCCCAGTGACAGCAGAGCCAGGATTCCAGCCTCCTCCTTAGTGCACGTGCCTCTTGAAGTCCCCTCCCACCTTTGTCCAGGTATCAGGGCCACAGAGCTTCTAGGGAATTTCCCCTGGGCGGGCCCTGCTTAACAACACTTTCTCTTTCTACTCACCCATGTCCTGTATCACCTCCTGCCAGTTTGCGATGTCCTCACACACCCAGCTTTCATGTGTACCAGATATATACAAATCCTGGATTTTGTTTTTCTTCTCCTAGAGCAATCCACATCCTTTGGTCTGGGCAAAACTGAAGGGCTTTCCATTCTGGCCTGCAAAAGCTCTGAGGGATAAGGACGGGCAGGTCGATGCCCGTTTCTTTGGACAACACGACAGGTGGGAGTTAAAAACAGGCTTTGAACATGTAGCTTCAACTGAACCTTTACTGTCATTGGATAAGAAAAGAGGTGGAGGGTATGGCTATTATTATTATTACTATCATCACCATCATCCCATTTTTTTTTTTTTTAAAGCAAATTCTTCCTTTTGTTGGTAGCTGGTGTGGCTATTATTTTGTTTATTGTCATGATTCCAACCATTGATCTTGCAGTTGAAAAAAATATTTTCGTGTCCTGTGTGAAGCCTGATAATGTGTGGACATTTGCTTTTCTTTTTCTTTTCTTTTCTTTTTTTTTTTTAATTTTCCCAGGTATTTTAGAAAATAGTCTTGCTTTGGTGGTGAAAGCAGCACTGGAATGAGTTCCATGGCTTTTTTTTTTTTTTTTTTTAAAGTGTTGCTGTGCTTGCTTTATTTATTATTTATTTTTTTTCTAGAGTAAATTAAAGCTCATTGCAAATTGCTTTTCAAAATAAGTGCTTTCAGGGATCAGAAGTATTTTCCCAGGTTGCCAGTAAATGAATCTCTTTATCATTGTCCTGAGCAGTTCCCTCCTGTTCCCCTTTCTCTGCAGCTAAAATGGGAAATTATAAGGGGATGCTGTTTTGACAGGTGTGAGCCTTCCCGCCCTGCCTTTCCACCCTCCCCTTCTCCTCCCAGCACAGCAAAGTGAATTTTTCCAGCTAATAGCGGTTCCCTTTAGAGCAGAGCTCCTGCGTGCTGGAGAACAACAGGTAGACAGAGACGGGTGGCGGTACATGGCTCAGTTCTCTCCTGGCAAGTTATGTTATGATTAGATGAGCAGAGACTTTCAAACCCCCCCCAGGCCGTTTGAGAAAGCGGCTGAGTACATAGGGGAGGCTATTTGAGCACATAGGCTAAAAATTATACACCCCCACAGAATAAACAGCAAATACAGTGTATAATTTGAAATAACACGCCAGCACCTGAAATGCCACTTTGCTCTGTTCAGTGTTGCTTGAGATCTTGCACATCAAAGACAAGTGTGAACTCCAAAGGAATCTGATTCTTTCCTAGGAATCCCCACAGTGCCTTGTCAGCAGACAGAATGGAAATTTGTTGAGATGGTTCTGGGCTTGGGATGGAGAATCCCACTTTGATTTTAACCGGTCTCATTGGAAGTCTCTCTGAATTTCATTTATTCCGGTTTTCTAAGCAGTGTGCACGTAGTGCCTGCTCTGGCTATGTGCTGGTTGCTGGTGGGGTGCAGAGACCGCGCTGCCTGTGTGAAGGCTGCTTCCTAAGGGGGTGGGGTGGGTGCTGTCCTAGTGGTCAAGTGGGCTTCCTATCCCAGAGCAGAAGGTGGTGGAGCCCTGGATGTGACACCTGGGCATGGTGGGAACAACAGGAGTTGTGACTTGGGCAGCGAGGAGGAACCTGGAACGGACTGTGTTTAGAACGGTGTTCAGGGAGGCGAGAGGCTGGGAGAAGATGGGACCTAAGGGGCAGGCAGGAAGTTGTTTTTTATTTTTTTATTTGAAGAGCAAGAGCAACAGCTGATAGGCCGTACGTCATTCTACGTCTTCATCAGTGTAGGTGTAAACTATCGTGAATTAAGATTCTTACCCTGTAGGACGGTCCAGTGTGGAATCTGTGTATACTGGGCTGTTTACCCTACGTGCGTAATACTCCTAGGTCCTCAGGGTTGAAGACTGTGTACCCTCTGCTGTCACCAGCTTGCAGAGACCTCTTCAGCCTCACCTGCCAGGCAGCCTCTGAAGGTGGCTTACGAGGCACAAAGGATGTTGTGTGAGCTTTGTTGGCCATATGTGTGGAGGCTCTTGTGAAGAAACTTTGTGGAGTCCTTGGTTCTGGATGGGATGGATGGGAATTGTCGTGAAGTTGGGTTTTTCTCTTTGTAAGTTTCTTGACCCCTCTTTATGTCTGTGTTATCTTCTGTCCTCCTTGAGAACTATGTTACTGTGTTAACTCATTAGAATTTAGGGGATCCCACTGAGGGAGCTGAGAAGGATTACTTCACAGTTCAGTGCCCCCACTTTGGAGGGCTTGGGTGTTTCTGTTGCTGGCTGCTGGGAACGAAACACTGTGCAGAGGAGTTGCGCATTCTGGGAGATCCTCCTACCTCCTGGTAAGGATTGGAGTTGGTGGCCTGCTGTGTTAGAACCAGGAGCCTAATGGCATGGACATCAGGGGGTGTGGCAACACTGTCCCTTTTTCAGGCAGCTCACTTGGTGTGGTGTAGCCAAAACATAAACCTGGACATGTACAGGCAAACTAGGTCAGGATAGCAGAGTAAGCTAAAGATATCCACAGGCTGTCAAGTTAATGTAAGAGCTAGAGGGAGCTCAGGGAGGATTTCCCACAAATGAAGGGGTGTTCTGAAGAGTCAGCATGCTTTGTAGCATTCAGAAGTATTTGCCTGATTTCTTTCTATTTTCCCTTTCGACATACACACGCAGTTGTGTTAGCTGAGTGGGATATGGTGGTGAACCCCTGCAATCCCAGTTTCTTGGGAGGTGAGGCAGGGGGAGTGGTTGAGTTGAGGGGTTCAAGGCCAGGCTAGGTAACATACAGAGGCTTTTGCTATCCCCCCTCCCCCAGATAAAACAACAAAAATAGGAAGACATCTATTACTAAATGCAGAGTTAAAAAATAAACTGCCATTAATGAAGTGCCTTTTATGCATGCAGGAGGCACCATTCGGGATGGATTTTTTTTTTTTTTTTTTTGCTTGCTCAGGATGCCTTAAGGGCAGGTCTGGTAAGGCCTGAAGATCTGGGGATCCAACCACAGAATCCTGAGTCTGACTGTTTGCTTAAGCAGGCACTTAAACAACTGAGTTAATGGGCAGGCCCCCTCAGGCACCATTTGAAGTATTCTCATAGATGCTTTTTTTTTTTTTTTTTAACTTATTAAAATGAGGCTCAGAGAGGCTAATGCCCTGCTCAGGTCACTCAGCCAAGACGCAGCCAGGCTGGGTAGAGCTGGGACTTGGTGACCACAGCACTGAAGTTCTGTAGCAGGCTTGTTATGACACACTCCTTCTATGGGATTTTTCACAGGAAAGCAAATCTAATTTCCTGCTTACTGTTTCCTGGACCTGCTCTAGGGAGAGAAACACTTGCCTGACAAGGCCCCATGAAGGTCACATGAGATGCTGCAGGGAATCAGTTAAGGCCTTAAAATGTGGGGAAACCAGCGCCAGCCCATGGCTCTTGGCTGATAAACCCTTGGTGCCTGATATAGGCTCTGGTCCCTTCTGCGTGATCCTTTGGACCCTCAGCAGATAACAGCCATCTCCCATTTTCCCTTGACCTTGGGGAGGTAGCCCTGGGGCTTGTCCTGTCTCCTGGGGTATGTGCCTGTCTCTAGGCAGAAGAACCTCTTGTGTACAGGGTGTTTGCGGCTTCTGGTGGTCTCAGCAGAAAGACAGCCGTTGGGCGATGCCCGCGAAGCTGGTGGATCCAGCACCCTGAGAGGGAGAGAAGCTAGATACTTAGGGGCTGTTCAGTTTTAGTTTGTGTCGCCGTCCAGTGTCGCAGGTGCTGTAGTCAATCTGTCCCATGGATGTACCCTATTTCTGCTGGGTTGTTTTGTCTAAAGATACAGGGAATTTGGTGCCAGCTGAGGAAGAGGATGAAGTAGAAGCAGCAGCCCATCGTTTCTGCTGCTCCTCACAGCATGGGAAGCCTGCGCACCGGGTCTTCCCTTGGATAGCAGCTGGGCCGAGAGAGCCCTCTTCCTCCCTTTGACCAGACTCGAGGTTTTGGCTTCCCTGGTGGCTACTTCGCTTCCCATGGTTTTGTGCCTGTCTTCAGTTCATGGGCCCTGAAATTGAAAAGGCCGCTTTGGAAAAGCTTGTTGGCATCGTTGGCAAAGTCAGGGTCTGGTGCCCCTGCACCTGCCCTGCTGCCACCTGCGGTGGCAAGGGTGGTGCCCTCTGCCCCTGCAGAGTGTGGATTCCCCAATCTTGTCCTGCTGCTTTTGTTCTCAAATGTCTCTGCAGAACTCGGAGAGGCCCTGTCAGTGGTTAGCAGGGAGACCGACTCAGGCTGGAGTTGGAGGGGGCTGTGCTCCTCTGAGGCCGAAGGGCTACTGGTAGTGATTTTTCTGTGTGCGTTGTCTCCCACTCAGAATCAGGCAGTTCTTCTAGGAAAATGGCTTCCAGGGTTTCCTGCTAGGCCCTTTTAGAACGGTGCTGAGAAAAGGACACTTTCTGGGTCCTGTGCAGCCGAGCGAGGTCTGGGGAATAATTATCTTCCCAGAGGTGCAGTTGAGGACGCAGTGACTGTTTTCTTATTCTCTACCCAATGAGAATTAAAGGGGATTTAGTGGTTTTTTTTTAAAGGATTAAAATGACTAAATCTAACAATGCCTTTTACGTCTTTGCTGCGCGTTGTCACTCATGTTCAGCCTTTGAGCAGAACATGCCTGTTAAGTGGATCATTAATTGACCATCCAAACCAAGTCTTTTTTATTTAAAAAGAAGCTAAGAATTTTGGCAGACATGCTAGGATAATTTGGTTTCCATTAAGAAAAACAACAATCTTGGAAACGACTAAAGTTGACTCCAACTCTATTTTCTCTTCTGCCCTTCTAGGGCCTGGGTTCCAATAAATAATTGCTACCTCATGTCTAAAGAAATTCCCTTCTCTGTGAAAAAGACGAAAAGCATCTTCAACAGTGCCATGCAAGAGATGGAGGTTTACGTGGAGAACATCCGCCGGAAGTTTGGGGTTTTTAATTACTCTCCGTTCAGGACACCCTACACCCCCAACAGCCAGTACCAAATGCTGCTCGATCCATCCAACCCCAGCGCCGGCACCGCCAAGATCGACAAGCAGGAGAAGGTGAAGCTGAACTTCGACATGACCGCGTCCCCCAAGATCCTGATGAGCAAGCCCATGCTGAGTGGGGGCGCGGGCCGCAGGATCTCCTTGTCGGACATGCCGCGCTCGCCCATGAGCACGAACTCCTCGGTGCACACGGGCTCCGACGTGGAGCAGGACGCAGACAAGAAGGCCACGTCCAGCCACTTCAGCGCCAGCGAGGAGTCCATGGACTTCCTGGAGAAGAGCACAGGTCGGCGGGGTGGGGGATGGGATAGGGTGGGGGATGGGCCGGGATGCGACGGTACTGGACTACGTGGGGGGCCACGTGGAACTCGGGGACCACGCCTTGTGGGTTCCAAGCCGCAGCTCAGCAAATGCCTCTGCTTCAGTAGACCAAAGTTTAAAGGACCAACCAGGCGGTTTTGGACCCCTAAATAAGAAAAGTCTCCCAAAAGCTTGCCGGAAGTTATTTGATTTAATTTTTAGATTTTTTTGTTGGTACATATTTGTAGCATAGAAGTTTACATTCTTATGACGAGTGTATTTGCCTAGTCCTAATCCTTTTTATTCTCCTTATCCCCTCACCACCTCCTCCCTCAATCTCTAGCGCCCCATCACATTTGCAAAAGGCTTATCTCCGGTTTTTTTTTTTTTATCATTTTATTTCATTTCTTTTTTTTGGTTTGGTTGTTTTGTTTTTTTTATTGGCAGAACTGGGGATTGAACTCAGGCCCTTCCGTTTGCCAGGGAAGTGCTTATTCCTCTGAGCCATCACCTCGGCCCCTATTTCATTTATTTTCTACCTTAGGTTTCTCATATAAGAGAAGTTAGGCCGGGCTGGGGAGGTAGCTCGGCTGGCTAAGCGCCTGCCTGGCAAGCTCAAGGACTGGAGTTCGATCCTTGGCACTGCCTGCCATGCTGGCCTGCTGTGAATCCGGGCATGGTGGTGCGCGCCTGTAATCCCAGTGCTGGGAGGCTGAGACAGGAGGCTCACTACGAGTCTGAACTGCGTAGCATGACCTTGTATCCAATCAGTAGCAAGACCTTTACCCAATCAATCAATCGATCGATCTATCTAAAAAAAAGAGCGAAGTTAGGCTGTATTTAAATTAGTCCCTCTGATTTATTTAACATTATGGTCTTGAGGTACGTCTGTTGTCCTGCACATGACTCAGTTTATCCTTTTTGTGACAGAACAGTACTCCATTATAGTATGAGTACATTTTCTTTATCCACTCATAGGTTGTTGGTGTATAGGCTACTTTAAGATATAGCTTCTAGGAATCCTGCTGCTATAAATATGGATATGCATGTATTACTGTAATATGCTATATTTTATTTTAGGGGGAAGTTCCTTACAAGGGAAATAGCTGGCCCAAATGGAATTTCCAGTTTTAATTTTTATTTTTTGGCTGGCTCAGGCTGCCTTGAGGGCAGGTCTGGTGTGGCGTGTGGCATGTGGTGCTGGGGATCGAACCGTGGCCTCCTGCCCCTGACTGGGTTTGCCCATGCAGGCGCTTAAACAACTGAGCTAACCTTCAAGCCTCCCCAGTTTTAATTTTTTGAGGGCTGTCCATGGTGATTTCCGTAGTGGTTGTGCCAGTTTATATTCCAACCAACAATCTCAAAGGGTTCCTTTCGCTCTGCGTCCTCACCAGCATTTGTGATTGAGTTTTCGATAATAACCAGCCTTCCTAGGCTAAGACGGAATACCAGTGTGGTTTGAATTTGCATTTCTCTGGTGATCAGAGAGGTTGAACATTTTTTCAGGTATTTATTTATTTATTTATTTATTTATTTATTTGTGTGTGTGTGTGTGTGTGTGTGTGTGGCCAGCTCAGCCCACCAGGGGGCGGGGCTGGCTGGCATGTGGTGCTGGGGGATTGAACCGCGGTCCCTGTGCTTTGCTAAGCTTGTTCTAAGTAGGTGCTTTAGACCACTGAGCCATCTCACCAGCCCCTCAGGTATTTATTGTCTATTTGTAATTCTTCTGAGAAGTGTCTGTTTGTTTTAGTGGCTCTATTATTTGGCTTGGCCTTTGGGGAAGGGCTGATTTTTTTTTTTTTTTTTTTTTAAAGTTCTTTATATATTCTGGGTATTAGTCTTCAGAGTATTAGTTCACAAAGTCTTTTCCCGTTGTGTAGATGGCTTGTTTGCTTCACAGTGTAGCCTTTATGGTGTAGCAGCTTTTAAATTTGATAATAACCCCATTTATTAATTCTTGATGCTATTTTGGGTGCTATTGGGATTTTGTTTAGAAGCTCCTTTCCTATGCCTGTTATCTTCAGGAGTTTTACCTGTTTTAACACCCTGCAGATTGTTTTTGTTTGAATATTTTACGTCTTTATTCATTTTGATTTTTTTTTTTCCTTTTAATTTTGGAGCATGTCCTTGTGTACAACCAGTTTTCCCAGCACTATAGTGTTTTCATTGATTGATTGATTGATTGATTGATTGATTCATTCATTCATTCTTTCTTTCAGTACAGAGTCTCACTAGGCAGCTTGGACTCTGTAATCCGCCTGTCTCATGCTTCCCAGCACCGGGATGACAGGTGTGTGCCACCGTGCCCGGTCCCGGTGGCCTGCTCAGCACCTGGGGTCCGTGCGCTTTCCAGGCAGGCGCTGTCCTGCTAAGCCATCTCCCGGCCCCTTTCTTTTCTTTTTCAAAGATCAGCTGCTTCTTTGCTTCTTCTGTTTTGTTCCTTTGCTCTGTGTGTCTGTTTTTGTTCCAGCATCGTGCTCACAGTTGCTTTTACTATTTAGGGTCTTTCCTGGTTCTGTTTAAATCTGAGGGTAGTTTTTCTCGTTTTGTGTGGAATGTTACTGAATCGAATTGCTTTAAATCCTTGTATTGGTTCTGGTAGTTGGGCCGTTTGGACAGTGTTGGTTCTGCCTGTTGAAGTTTCCATTTTGTGATACATTCTTTGCTTTCTTTTTAAGAGTGCTGTAGTTTTTGTTAGGGGTTATTTTAACTCCTTAGTATTTAATTTTTCTTTTTTTTAAAAAAATTAAGTTTACTGGTACAGTTTAGATTGAATAATGATCATATTCATTATAGGAATTTGTACCAATACGGAATATAACTTCTCATTTTTCTCCATTCTCCTCCCCTCCTTCCAACTTTTCTTCATTTCTTATTTACAAACACTTTATCTTCATTTTTTTCCTTTTCCCACATTTTTTATTGTCTTTTCCTTTACCCTCCCCGCGCCCTTGTTTCCTTTCCTATTTGGACATTTTCTTTCTTTCTTTCTTTCTTTCTTTCTTTCTTTCTTTCTTTCTTTTTCCTGTTTGAACATTTTCATCCCATTTTCTAATATTATATGTATTTGGGTCTTGTTTACACTTGGTGTCTCATACCAGAAAAACGATGCGGTATTTACACACACGTGTCTGGTTTCAAGCTGATCCTTCTTCGTGGCAGTGTAGTACTCTATTGCTAAAAGAGCTCCTGCAAGTTCTTTCCCAGTCGTGGCTGAGGGGCGTTTGGGCTGTTGCTAAGACGTGGTTGTCATACTGTGCTGCTGTAAACATGGGTGTGCCTATGTCACTGTGGTATAATGCAATTTAATTTTTATATTTATTTTTTGTCTTTATTTGTTT